ACTTTTACCAATTTATAATAATCTCTAAGATTTTTATTTCTCAAAATTATTGAATTTTTGAAATTTTGTGATCTTTAATGTCCTTCAAATTTTTTTAAAATCTAGTTGAATTTCTGATATATTCAATGTGTCTTAATTATTGAGTTAAAAAAACTATAGAATTATGACAAATTCTCAAGATGTATATATTTGTTACTGGGTTTTTGTATTAATTGAGTTATTTTAAGGGAGTTTTTATCAGCTTTTCCTATACCTAAATTTAGCCGTTTTTGAAATATTTGAAGTTTTTAAAAAATTTTTGGATCTGCACCTTCCACTTTAAAAATCGTTAACTCTGATATTTTTAAAAATTTTGAATTTGTTTTGTGGCTTTTGAAAGAAAAAGCTTAGATTTTTCTTCTGGTGTTTTCAAATTTAAAAAAAAAAATAAAAAACCCTAAAATTTTAAGGTTACTTTTGTAATAATTCAAATACCTAATACTAAATTTTTCCAAATGAAATGAATAAAGTTAAAATATGGAAAAAATAAAGATTACAATTATTTTAAAAAATGTTTAAGATTTCTACAATGTGGTTGAAGATTTTTTTAATTATTGAATTTTCGAAATCTTGTATCTTTTGTTTTCTGAAAATTTTTATAATTTAGTCAAGTTTTGGATATATCCAGGATGTCTTAATATTTTAAAAAATTCTAGACAATTTTTTTAAGATTTTTCTTTAAAATCGTAGCAGCTAAGATTTTTAGTTTCCCAAAACCAAGAAAATTGTTGCTCCTTTTTCCACTTTTTAAAGATATTTATTTTGGTTATTACATTCTTAGAATTTATTTTACCCTGGAAAACTTTTACCAATTTATAATAATCTCTAAGATTTTTATTTCTCAAAATTATTGAATTTTTGAAATTTTGTGATCTTTAATGTCCTTCAAATTTTTTAAAATCTAGTTGAATTTCTGATATATTCAATATGTCTCAATTATTGAGTTAAAAAAATCTATGGAATTATGACAAATTCTCAAGATGTATATATTTTTTACTACGTTTTTGTATTAATTGAGTTATTTTAAGGGAGTTTTTATCAGCTTTTCCTATACCTAAATTTAGCCGTTTTTGAAATATTTGAAGTTTTTAAAAATATTTGGATCTGCACCTTCTACTTTAACAATCGTTAACTCTACTATTTTTTTTTAATTTTGAATTTGTTTTGTGGCATTTGNTTAAGTCCTCTTAAATGAAAATATTTTCAAGATGGCGGCAGGCACTTCCGGTTATACCGGAAGTTGGTTTCAACTTTCTTATTTTAAATGGAAAGGTATATTTTTTACTGCGTTTTTGTATTAATTGAGTTATTTTAAGGGAGTTTTTATCAGCTTTCCCCATACCTAAATTTAGCCGTTTTTGAAATATTTGGAGTTTTAAAAAAAAATTTGGATCTGCACCTTCCACTTTAAAAATCGTTAACTCTGCTATTTTTTTAAATTTTGAATTTGTTTTGTGGCATTTGAAAGAGAAAGCTTAGTTTTTTCTTCTGGTGTTTTGAAATTTTGAAAAAAAGATTAACAAACCCTATAACTTTAAGGTTACTTTTGTAATAATTCAAATACCCATAACTCAATTTTTTAAATGAAATACCCCAATTTTTTTGTTAAGACTACAGAAAATTTATTACTAGTCACACTCGTTTTGACATAGTTTGCTATGGAAGTCAAAAATGTCAAAATTTTCTCTAAAAAAACAGTAAATTAATTTTTGACAAATCGTGTCTTTTTAAAACTAGCTAGTGAGAAAAATTTATTTTTGTTTAATGAACATCATGTTAAAATAATAAATAAATAAATAAAAAATATAAAATAAAATAAAATTAAATAAATTAATTAAATCTAAGTTTGAGTAGCTTTTATTCTCCATATTTTGGCACTATTTGACAAATAATAATTCACTGTCGACATTTATTGAGAAACTATTTTGACATTTTTGATTTCAAAAATATAAAAAAATACAAAAGTAACCTTAAAATTTTGGGGTTTGTTATTTTTTTGTTAATTTGAAAACACTAGAAGAAAAATCTAAGCTTTCTCTTTCAAATGGCAAAAAACAAATTCAACATTTAAAAGAAAAGCAGAGTTAACGATTTTTAAAAAGTGGAAGGTGTAGATCCAAAAAATTTTTTTTTTTGAATTTCAAATATTTCAAAAACGGCCAAGTTGATAAATACTCTCTTAAAATAACTCAATTAATACAAAAACGCAATAAAAAATATAGCTTTCCATTTAAAATAAGAAAGTTGAAACCAACTTCCGGTATAACCGGAAGTGCCTGCCGCCATCTTGAAAATATTTTCATTTAAGAGGACTTAATGGATTATGGCTATGTACCAATTTTCAAATAAATACGATTTTAGACGGAACAGCGTGTATACTACGTGACACTGAAATTGTCCAAGGGACAATTTCACTGTCGCTTAGTATAGCATAGGAGTGTGGATTTTTTCGCGGATTTTTTTGGTTTTTTTGCTAATTATGTTGCAGTCGAGTTAGTCTTATTTTAATTAGCAACTTTGGTCAGGTTACGCCACCCATGTACTGGCTGTGTCGCTCCCTACGGATTTCGCAATCACATGACCCTCAGCACTAACACGACTTCGTTTTCAGTAAGTCGTAGTCACTGCACTTTTACTAAATGCCCTTTTCTCCCATCCCTTGCCCTTTTCTCGCTCTCTAGAGGCATGTTATGTGTAGATTTTCCAGGGCCGGCGCTGGTATTTTTGAAATTTTTAGTGCAATTATATTTTTTATGTACAAGCCTGCATGTCGATGTTAGTACTAGTTTATGGTTATAGCTTGCGTAGTCCGTGTCAAGGATGTGCGGCGCCGTACGGCTTTAGGAACATGATGACTTTATCAAGAGACACGTGGCAGTTTTCTGTAAGTTTTTGTGAGCTACACCGCTCACAATGTAACGAGTTTTATAGTTGGTGCAGCTCTAACTCTTCCACAGCTAAAATTATTGTAAAAACACGAATTAATTTTAATACTCACTAAAGTTTGCTTTTTTTTCTTTCTAAAACTCTAAAAAAACATTAAAAAATAAAAATTTTACCCTAACTGTGATAATTTCCCCCGAACCAATCAGATTTGAGAATAATAGGGCCTAAACCAATGAAATCAAAAAGAAAACTTGGACCAATCAAGAAGAAAAAACTACCACTTCGAAACCAATCACAACAAGTGGGGAATAATTGGCCAATAAAAAATTCACTGAACTGGATTAATAGCCAATCCGATGTTGAGACCTGTGGTAGCCAACCAAAATGATTTCGAATAATTAGCCAATAATAAACTCGTTTTTGGTAGATTTCTTGGAAAAAAATCTTATTCTGATCTCACTTATTTTAAAGCTCTAACATTCTTCGCTGTTATCAAATTTCTTATCTTATCAAATTAATATTTACTTGAAACAATTTTTAACAGTCTTTGCCTAACTAAAGAAAAATAGTTCAATAATTTAATTTCTAAAATTAGAATTTCTCGAGATTCTCAGTACTTGATTAAAATCTTGAAAGTTGTAAGATAACTCCTTTAACAAAAAAAAAGAAACAAATAAACAGAAAAGT